CTGATGTTGAGGCATATGCTTCTGTGTTTTTTGTTTTTTGTTTTTGACGCACGTTCCAGGTGCAGCGGCCCTTTAGCGGTCTGTCTCATGCCTCGCCCCCATTTTGCAATGGAAACCCTAATAGTAACCTAATGCACTCAGAATGGTTTCGCGGTAATAATTTTGTGTATTACTTCTCACCTCAAAGGAGTTAGTGAGTGCGTGTATTATGTAGCTTCCCAAACCTGGTTTTAGGGTTTGGAGCATTATGGAAGAAGCGGTCATGGATGTTGCATCACAAGGTCACAGTAATATAGATATATGGATGTATAATTAATGGCTTTGGATGCTTTTTCGTTGGGGGTCACAGTAATATTCAATAAAGTTTGTACTTTTGAACATTGTTATGAAATTCTCAATTTCATCATTTATTCTTATATTAAATTTTGTTTATGAAATTCAAAAAAACATCAAAATTGTCAAATTATAGGAAAAAATAAAATTTCGAAAAGATTAAAATTAGTAGAAGCAATCCTTCCTATTTAAAATGTTACAAATCACACATAGGAATTTTACTAAATGGGTTCAAGTCAAATTGGTTTTTTTTCTAGTTTGATCCTTAAAGTTTAAAACTACTCTAGAATCAACTTTTACAAATATCAAGTTACTTTTAAATATGATAATTTAGATCTATAGTCTAACATTATATATATATATATATATATATATAATCATTACTTTTTAAAAATTATAATAAATATATGATGTAGTTATCTTTTTAAAGACTTATTAGTATTCTTTTAATGATTCTTTCAAGAAAAAAAATAATAATAACAATATATATATATTGTTATTATTACTATTATTGTTATTCATGTATATATATACATGGAGTGCAAGAAAAACCAAAATTAATCTACAAACTTATGTGTATCTATCTATCTATCTATATATATATATAAGCTTTGTGCCTCAAAAGCTGATATATCTTAAAGAATCTAATTACTTTGTTATCTTTTTTAAATATTGTTATTATCACAATTGATTGCATCTGTTAATTTAGTGTGATAAAATATAGAAGATGTTCATAAATGTATTAACCAAGAAAACATAAAAGTTACAAATTTGACTTGAATATATACATGTACATGTACAAATATCACAAGAAAATATTAGCTAATTATGGCCAGTTGATTATGTTTTGCACAATGTGTAGACAAGTTTTTTCTTCACTAATGCATGTATATTTGGTTCTTGTAGGGTAATTGAACCTTTGACTGTGCAACTTTTCACTTGAAATGAAATGAAATTAGGTCCTTTCAAAATAAAGAAATTATAGATCATAAAATATTAAGTACTATTTAATAATGCTATCTTCAGATATATTTCCTTTCAATTTGCAATGTAATTACTATAAATATATTTACAGTATTTTACAAATAATAATAATAATAATAATAAGTTACAATTAGATTCATGCATATGTATGTACTTTTATACTTATTGTAGTCATATAAGATCTTGGGTCATCATGTTTTACTTGATTACTTTAAAGATTACTTTAAAGATTATCGTTTGTAGAATATATATACACATTTTTATTTTATTTTATTTTATTTTATATTTCTCTGTTATTATACCAGAAAATTTCAGCCAAAATACTTTATCACTAATGTGTGTTTGATTCATTTGTAGAAGAGTTGATGATTGACTTGTATTCTCATTTTAAATTTTTTATATAAACTTCAGTTTTTAACAATAAAATAAAATAAAGTAAATACTTAAAAAAATTAACTGTACTTTTGTTGAACACAATCTTGTATAAGAACAGGGAATGAAACTTGTTTTCTCAATATAACTTTTGATGACTTTTTATTATCATATTGCAAAATATGTTGTTATTATGACTAAGAACCTATACATTTATATTTAACTTGAAGCATGATCATGCATGGTGATTAGTCATGATTATGTTTCACAATCCTATATTTTATTTCTCTTTTTGATACTTAATAGATTTTATTATATTATTTTAAAATAATAAATTTTTTCTATATATATATATATATATGATAATTTTTGTACACTAAAATTATTTTTTAGCTTTTTTAATTAACATTTAATTTTTGTTAATATACTTAATTTATGAATACATAATATTTTTAAAGTATATTTTTAATTTTTTTTATAATAAACAATTAGAAAACATAGAAGAAGCAGAAATGTTCCAAAGATTAGTTTTTATCAAAATATATAATAAGTGACATTGTAGATAGATATATAATAAATTTTAGCTCCTAACACCTTTCAAAACATTCAAGAAATGTTTCTAAAACTTTATTTGTTTTTGATAATTTTTAATTACTTGAAACACAATTTAATATCATTAGTTTATATAATAACTATATTCTTATTAATTAACTAACTAAATATTTTCTATAACCCTTAATATGAAGCCTAAAATATTTATAATTTATTAATATATTTAATAGAATAATTTAAAGATGTGTATTTTTTAGTTGTTGAAACCTTTTCATAATAATAATAATAATAATATTTTATTAGGATCCAATTGCATAGTGTAAGGTGGCTAGATAAGCCTTAGTTTTGCTCACATACATTTTGTAGCATTCTAAGTATTAGTTACATTCTATTCTTGTTTCTAATCTAATATCTTTTTTTTTTTCATTTTTTTTTTTTTTTTTTTCTATTGGATCTTGATTCCTCTGTTCTTTAGAATATATATATATATATATATATATATATATAATTTTGAATCATTTTAAATATTTTAGAAGTTATTTAAATTAAATAAATACTTAATAGTATATTTTTGTATTTGACATCAAAAAAGTAAAAACAATACTAAAATTTATAAAATCTGTATTAAAAAGATCTTGTTACTATTTATTTTTTAAAATTATTTTTATAACTACTAGAAGAAACCTAGTTAGAAAATTAAATATTTATTAGAGTTATTTCGCTACTAAATCACTCGTTGCTATTGAAGCATTTCATAGTATACAACATTGGTTATGGATTTTTCATTGTTACAATGCATAAAGACATTTGCAATGTGTATGGCTAAAATATATATATATATATATATATATAAAGCTGACCATAGGTGAATATAAGATTAAAAAGGCACACCTTAAATATTCCTTTAGTTTGTCCTTCCTAATGCCAATTGAATCAAAAACTAATATTGCATAAGCGTGAAATAGTATCTATTCACTTGCAATACAATTGTTATTTGTTGAATGTTTACCCTCTCACTTGCATGAGTTCCACTAAAGATTTGAGCAAAAATTATTCTACATCCAAAAACAAAACAATCATATGTGTGCTATTGCATAGACATGTTGACACATTGACATAAAGAGTCACTTATGCAATCCTACCACATCTCAATCTATAAGTCTTATTTCTACTTTAGAGTCAACTTCAATAACATGTGATTTTTATATCCACTATTTAGCTTCTTAACCTCAAATGCCCTACATACAAATATCAAAACATGATTAAGTACAACTTGTAATTCCTATCATTACAACTTCCTGAGAGAACTTGCATGCTATTGTAGTTCAAAAATGCAAACCTCATCACTAAATTGCAATAGCAAGTATTGTCAACTTTAGACAAATCCAAGTCCATATAATTTAAAGAACTAAATGACATGTAGTCATTTGAGAGATATAAATTGAAACAAGGATTAGTAGAATGAAAGAGATCAATTCACAAGATAATTGGAACAATGGAAGGAAAGTTACAAAGCTCTATTTGAGATATAGAGTAAGTAAGTAATAGATGGAATAGAATAGACAAGGAGAAAGGGGACAATGAAGGGAGAGATTACAAAAGATGAAGGACAAAAAGTAGTAAATTTCTACTTTGTATTATACCATTGTTTTGTATTTGCATGTCTCTTGTCTTGTTTAACTTCAATGCCTCTTCTCACTTATTCCCTACAAGCATTTAATTTAATTTAATTTAATTGATTCTTTTCTATTTGGTTCCTTCTTCATATTGAAACGGTCAATTGCCTCCAACTACTGTTGCAACATGTTAATGAATAAACTCTGTATATTTTATCATAAATTGGTATATGTTTATGGAGGTGTGATATAATTGATTTTAAATAGTTTTAACAACCTCAATCAACTAATATTTTTTGCAGATAGACAAACATCATTTTTTAAAGTATAAAACAGATGTACAAAAGAGATTTCTTATTAAATTTTATTATATTCTATTTTTTTTATTTTACCAAATAATATAAAATGTAATAAATAGATTGAATTGCAATGGTTAAAAGATATTTGACTAAATTTTTTACTGAATTATAAAATTTTATACACTTTCATTTAAGTTTTATTATATATGTTATAATTTTTTTAAAAATATATTAAAATAATAGAGATAAAAAATTATAAATTATATATATATATATATAATAATTATTATTTATTGGATAAAATATGTACTAAAAAGAATAAGTTGAACTAAAGCTTTAAACAATACAATTTTAATAATAAAATATGAATAAATGATATTTTATGCAAAAATTATTACATAAAATTTATATCAAAAACATTATATTGAAGTGTTTATTAAAATCTGTACATTTTTAAATATTGGAATGATATTCAAATGATATTTAAGTAGATCTATTAAGAATATATATATTTTTTAAATTAATTAAATAAAATAAAAATATACAAAGATAATTTAGTCTTCTTAAACAATTATTATTTAATTCAATCTAAGTTGTTATTTTATTTATTTATAATGTTATTTTTTAAAAATAAAATATTAAAAATTTAGTTGTGCTTGTATACATGTCAATATATATATATATATATATATATATATATATATACATACATACCAACA